TGCCACACTCACATATGGTGGTTAAAAATCAGGAGAGCCAAGGCTGGTTTGGCTCAGGGGTTAGAGCATCAACCCGTGGTCCAGAGAGACCCAGGTTCAGTTCCCGCTAAGGGCACGTGTCTCGGTTGCAGTTTGTCCCCAGCCCTGGTTGGGTTGTGTAGTTGGCAGCCACTCAATGTGTCCCTTTCACGTTGATGTTTCTCTCTCTCTTCCTCTCTCTCCCTCCCATTCTATCTGAACAAAAGATGGAAAAATATCCTCGGGTAAGGATAAAAAAAAAAAATCAGGAGAGATAGCTTGGCTATAGAGGTGACTCCTAAGGAGCAAGGGATCCTAGCCCTCCATCAGAATCCCCAGCCCAGCATCCCAGTGCTGGGAAGAGAAATCCCCATAACTTCTGGCTATAAAAACCAGTGGGGATTGTGGCTGAATGACATGGAGGGCTCTTAAAGGGCCCATCGACTTCTTGGACTCACTGTCTCTGAGCTCCAGGGCCGAGGTAGCAGTCAAAAGGTGCCAGGGACATGTGGGAAGGAACTAAATTGTCTGGCTTCAGGGCAAAGGTTGGAGGGGCAGCTTTCTCCCAGAAAGAAGTGCTGGCAGAGGCCATTGTTCCTTTGCTGAGCCCTTACCCCAAAAAGCCAGCAGGCAAGCACCATATCTGTCTCTATCAACCTGGCTAACACTGTTAACCCCACCCAATTTGAGGGCCACCCAAGTAATTTCCATTGGCTTTTCCATACAAATGCCCTCTCTTGCCTCATGCTTTGGACTTTCCTAAAATCTCAAACAAGGAACATCTGGCCTCTGAGTGCCCCTTACCTCTTGCTAAGTGGCCCCAGGCCTGGCACTACCAGTAGCTGGCCTTGGTTCACAGCTTAGCCTCGCCTGGGCACATCCAAGTACAGTATAAATAGCAACCACATGCAGATCGCTCTGTAGGTTGTGCCTGTGCCAGATAGCCCCAGGTAAGGCATAGCAGTGGCTGAACTTGCATTTCCCAGAAGGCCCCAGAGCCAGTGCACCTGGTAGACAGCTTCAGATCGAGCTGGATTATAACCCTATAACCTCCATGAGTGATACACTCAAGGGGCAGACTGGAAGAGCACCAAAGCACCACTGAAGCAAGTCCAGATCCATATAATTGGCCCCTTCACAGTAGCTCCTCTGCTGTAGTCACAGCCAGTCCTAACAGCCTATTGCCCTGGCCAGTGGTGGGGGGGGGTGGTGTCAATCCCTCCCAGTGATGTACCAACAGCGATCAAGGCTCAACTATAACTGGACAGTGCACACAGCCAACACATTGGGCACACCTGAAGTGCCCCAGCTCAAGTGACTGAAGTGGCTGCACCACTGGACTCTACAGGACACTTACTACATAAGGCCACTCTATCAAGACTGGGAGATAGAGGGGTTCTACCTAATACATAGAATCAAACACAGGAAATCAGCCAAAATGAGGAGATAAAAAAACAGGTTCCAAATGAAAGAACAGGAGAAATCTCCAGAAAAAGAACTAAATGAAATGGAGGCAAGCAAACTACCAGATACGGAGTTCAAAAGAATGGTTATAAGGATGATCAAGGAACTTAGTGAGAATTGTTTTTAACAGCATAAAAGGACATGAAAAGGACATAAAAAAGAACCAGTCAGAAATGAAGAATACACTAACTGAAGTGAAAATAAATTACAGGAAATCAACAGTAGAGTAGATGAAGCAGAAAATCAAATCAGTGATTTGGAATATAAGGACACATAAAACACCCAATCAGAATGACAAAAAGAAAAAAGAATCCAAAAAAATGAGGATAGTATAAAGAACCTCTGGAACAATTTCTTTTTTTTTTTTTTTTAATTAATTTATTTTTTTATCCTCGCCCGAAGACATTTTTCCATTTTTTGTACAGATAGAGCGGAGAGAGAGGGAGAGAGAGGAAGGGAGAGAGAGAGAGAAACATCGACGTGAAGGGACACATTGAGTGGTTGCCACCCGCACGACCAACCAGGGCCAGGGACAAACTGCAACCAAAGTACGTGCCCTTAGCGGGAACCGAACCCGGGTCTCTCTGTACCGCAGGCCGACGCTCTAACCGCTGAGCCAAACCGGCCAGGGCTGAAAACCTATTTTAAAAGATAATGATGGAAAACTTCCCTAACCTGGTGAAGTAAATAAACATACACATCCAGGAAGTGCAGAGAATCCCAAACAAGGCCCACACCAAGAAACATAATAATTAAAATGCTAACAGTTAAAAGCAAAGAGCCCTGGCTAGTTTGGCTCAGCAGTTAGAACGTCGGCCTGAGGTCCGGAGAGACACGGGTTCAGTTCCCACTAAGGGCACGTACCTCAGTTGCAGTTTGTCCCCGACCCTGGTTGGGTCATGTGGGTGGCAACCACTCGATGTGTCCCTTTCATGTCGATGTTTCTCTCTCTCTCTCTCTCTCTCTCCCTCTCTCCCTCCCACTCTATCTGAGCAAAATATCAAAAAATGTCCTCGGGTGAGGATAAAATAAATAAATAAATAAATAAATAAATAAAAGCAAAGGGAGAATCTTAAAAGTAGCAGGAGAAAAGCAGTTAGTTACCTAAAAGGGAGCTCCTATAAGACTGTCAGCTGACTTCTTAACAGAAACTTTGCAGGCCAGAAGGGATTGGCAAAGAGTATTCAAAATGATGAAAAACAAGGACCTACAACCAAGATTACTCTATCCTGCAAAGCTATAATTTATAATCAATGGCCATATAGTTTCCCAGGCAAGAAAAAGCTAAAGGAGTTCATCACCACCAACCAGTATTATATGAAATATTGACAGGTCTTGAAAAAGAAAAGATAAAAATATGAATATGGGACCTGACCACCGTGGGCGCCGTCACCCAGTGCTACGGAGGCATAGGGGCCCAGCACCGTGTCCGCGCCCACTCAATCCAAATCATGAAGGTGGAAGAGATTGCAGCCAGCAAGTGCCGCCGACCAGCAGTCCAGCAGTTCCATGACTTCAAGATCATGTTCCGGTTGCCCCACCGGGTTCTTCGTCGCCAGCACAAGCCACGCTTCACCACCAAGAGACCCAATACCTTCTTATAGATACAGGGTCCCCCATCCCCTGGTCTGCCCAAATAAACTCTTTGGGAAAACTGGGGTACTCCGACACACTTACTTTGTTTGCACACACTGCAGAACTAAAATGGTCCAGCCACGTTGAGTTCTCTGCTCTGAGAGGAGTCTTCTTCCCCAAGTAGGGCCCAGACAGTGGGATCTTTAGAAGCGTGTGTATGTGTGTGTGTGTGTGTGTGTGTCCCAGGAATGATGAGGGTCTCACCCCCAATCTCTCCTGCCCACTGAGTTCTCTGAGGCTTTGTCCAGTGAGACGCTGTCATGGGTGGGGTCCTGGGAGGGCTGCATTGCAGTCCTATCAGGCAGCCCTCTGCTGTGAGCTTGGAGGTGCATTGTAGGCCACAGGTTTGGCCCACAAGTTCGTCCCTCCTGCCTCATTAAACACAGGCCTCCGTCCCCTGTCCCCCCCATTCTTCTGGTGGTGAGATGTGGCAGCTGGACACTGAGGGAATCGGGATAGTGGGATTGGTTCATTCTGCCTGGGGCCTCTTCTGGCCTAAAACTTGGTTCTTGGTTCCAAGGTCCTCAGAGTAGGCAGGAGGTGGTGCCCAAGAGGGACATGAGCTTACTGTGCTGAGGTTCTGCTGCTTCCCCACTTGGAGCATCTTGAGTGAAGCTGCCCTGATTCTGCCCAGGGTGTTTGAGGTCCTCTGTTTCCAGGAAACCACTTCATGAAGTTAATCCTACCTTGGCTGAGCCTTCAACAAGGAGACTGAGGCACAGGCCTTGGGAGCACCTGCCTTGTCACCTTGAGCCCTCTGAGCATTGGTGTCCAGACAACCTACCACATTTACTCAGTCAATAATGCTTGGGGTGCATGCACTGGGGGCACAGCCTGAGCAGGATCCACCATGGATCAGGAAGGAGCCCAAGCACAAAAAGGCAGGAGAAAGCAGCCAGGCCTAGGGTGTCCTGAGCAGGGAAAACAGCTTCTAACCAAGGAGAGATGTAGTATGATAGCCCTGGTTTACCCAAAAAACCAGTTCACTTCGAACCTACCTGTGCTTGGAGAGGCCAGTTGCCCAGAGCACAACTTGTACACAGCCAGCCATTCTCACAGGAAAGATGCCCGAGTGGGGCCCCAGGTTTCCAGGGCTGTCGTAGCTGCTTTGCCTGCTGTTCCAACACAGTTGACTCTTTTGCACTAGCTGAGCCCACTACCTGGACTACTTTGCACAGGTCACCACTGGTTTTGCCTCAGTCATGTTCCTGAACCATACATCTATTCATATCACTTGGTTTTCTGTCCCTCACCAGACTGAGGGCTGGAACTACATATGTCACTGTCCCCAGCAGAGCTTCGGTAAGTTTGTGAGACCCAGAAAAGGGCAGTGATGGCCAATGGATATCCCTCCATCTGTGTCTATTACATGGGGCAACAATGCTAAAGTCCTGGCCTTGTTGTGCCAGGCATTTGATTTTGGGCACTGGAAAAACAAAAACAAAAACATTTTGGATTTGCTTTGACCTTGGCTTATTATTGAGCTACTGGTTATCTTCTGTTGATTTGTAAAACCTTGGAAGAAAAATTTCCCCATGTTGCAAATAAAATAAAATATAATTTAAATTTTTAAAAAATTAACTAAATATGTTACTCTATTGCTTAAAAAAAAAACAACTTAATGATAAAAATGGGATAGTCTTTAAAAAATGGGATAGTCTTGGTGAATCAAACGACTTTCACTTTTAATTATACATGATTCTGTATTGTTTGAATGCATTGTCATATTTTGTATGTGTGTGTAAAATAAATAAAAGCATGTTTAATAAAAAAAAGAAAATAGGATTGCAAAGGCTGAGAATCCAGTAGGATTTGACAAGGAAGCCAAGATGATTGCTTTGTTACAAAGAGGTTCCTAGGTGTTCTGGAAAACCCAATACATGTTGTTTTAATAACATTTTTATTCATAGTATCTCATCTATAATTATAATGTTATATTTTGCTTGACTTGATAGATTGTTTACCATTGAGATGTTTATGGAAGAAAGTTTGAATTTGCTGCCAGGCATCTACCTGTGCCCTTGAATGAGCCTTTGGTTCACCTCCATAAAATACTGGTAGGCCCAATACTGCATGCACAGAGGCTCTGCTAGGAGGAAAATACGGTGGGTCAATACAATGACCAGTTCCTGGGTAGCAGATTATCTGGGGCTTGTCTTTCCCATGGGCTTGTAACTGTTTAGAGGCTATGTGAGCATAGAACGCACTCTTCCAGCTATGATCATCCATGCCAACAATAAACAGGAAGGGCCCCTGGGCCTTTTCCAATGGAATAAGACTTTGGTGGTAGGGTTCTTCCAGTGGATTGTTCCAAATATTCATGAAATCTAAAAAGCCTGATTCAGTGGTTGTATGTTTCCCTAGGTCACTGCCGAGATCAGGAAGAGTCATATCCTTGTAATGCAGAGGAGCTATTGTATTGGCCACACAGGAATTGATAACTACAGTGGCCGTGATACCCTTCAAGAAAGAGGCCATTGAGAGACACAGGTCACCTCCTTTGGAGAATCCAAGAAGCCCAATACTAGGGCCTTTCACCTGATGAGGAGAGAGAGAGAGAGAGAGTGTGAGAGAGAGAATAAGCCTAGAATTCACAGAGGACATAAACAGTGATTTTATATTCTCTAGATAGCTTTCTCAAATGTAATTTGCTTTCCTTCCTTATGCAACAATCTACAAGGTTCTAGAGTGTCTTCTAATAAGCAAATTAATTGATTTCCTAGTACACAGGCCCTCCATTAATATTTATGGGATCTGGGTTAAGAATACACACAGAGATCCTATACCTAAATATTTAAAAGTTAAATATCAGTCCTGGCTGCTTTGCCTCAGTGGTTAGAGCGTCGGCCTGCGGTCCAGAGAGACCCGGGTTTGGTTCCCGCTAAGGGCACGTACCTCGGTTGCAGTTTGTCCCCGGCCCTGGTTGGGTCGTGTGGGTGGCAGCCACTCGATGTGTCCCTTTCACATCAACATTTCTCTCTCTCTCTCTCTTCCTCTCTCTCCCTCCCACTCTATCTGAACAAAAAATGGAAAAATGTCCTCGGGTGAGGATAAAAAAAAAAAAAAAAGGTTAAATATCAAATGAACAAACTGTTAAGTAAAGTATGTTCTTTTCTTCTACTTTGATAATATGCTTCCATAACAATTTATAAGGTTAAATTTAAAATCTTGGAACTCCTTGGAGTTCTGTACTGGAACATGGTATAGGGGAGAGCCAGACCCTGGCTCCAGTCTCTCTGGCCCACTCTCCTTCTCTTCCACCCCTGGCTCCATCATGCACCCTGAAGGGCCTCTCACACACATGTTGAAGGACCCTAAGAAGAAGCGTTGGGCCTGGAAGCAGGATCAGTGCTGTTCAGCAGAGAATTTTGGGGTTCAAGATCCCAAGGGCATGGTGAGAGAGCAGCCATATAGGTTCCAGGTGAACACATTTCCTTGGTCCTTTGGACTCCTTACTCTGTGGGCAGAGATGCAGCCAAAGGAAGGCCAGAGTTTGACCATCTAAAACAAAGGGTCCACACTGGCCGATTTGGCTCAGCAGTTAGAGTGTCAGCCTGCAGTCCCGAGAGACCTGGGTTCGGTTCCCGCTAAGGGCACGTACCTCGGTTGCGGTTTGTCCCCGGCCCTGGTTGGGTTGTGCGGGTAGCAGCCCCTCAATGTGTCCCTTTCACGTCGATGTTTCTCTCTCTCTCTCCCTCCCACTCTATCTGACCAAAATATGGAAAAATGTCCTTAGTGAGGATTTTAAAAAATAATAATAAAAATAATAATAATAAAACAAAGGGTCCAAGGAAGAAGCCCCTTTTGCCTGGGTTTGAGGGCAGAACAGATAGTATATACTGTTCTCTTCTTTTTCCTGGGGCCTATGTGCCCTAAATAAACCAATCATCACAGTTCAAGATCATCTAGGTGTTAGCAGCTCTAAAAGACCAGTCCATGAATTTTAACAGCATTAAACCATCCTACAGATTTTTGCAGAACATCTTATTTATTTTGTTTTGTTTTGTTTTAGTACGTGCCCCTAGTGGGAACTGAACCTGAGACTCTCTGGTCCGCAGGCCGACGCTCCAACCGCTGAGCCAAACTGGCCAGGGCAAACATCTTATTTCTTAACATTAAATGTTTGGGTCTCTAAGTTTAGACAGTAGCACAGAGTATGTATTCCATTTATTATCACTCATTTTTATTTCATTCATTTTTTCTACTATCAGTTAAAATATTCTCTACAAAACCCGAATACAATTATCACACTTAACAAAATGAATGAATAATGATTCCTTAATATCATCAAATACACAGTCACCAATTCAAATGTCACGAATAGTCTCGATGTCTCTTTCTAGTCAAACTTTTTCCTCTACACATTCATATTCATCTTATGAGAAAAACTGAATCCCAGAGAGGGCAACTGACTTATTCAGGATCATAAGGCCACTTGGTAGTAGATATAAAACCAGAACTCAAGGTTAGTAACTTTTTAGTCAGCTCTTTGAATTATGACCAAGAATTAAAGGGAACGCCCTGGCCAGGTGGCTCAGTTGGCTGGAGCATTGTCCTGTATACCAATGGTTGTGGATTTGATTCCTGGCCAGTGTGGCCAGTGGACTGAACATCATCCCATGGATTGAGAGGTCACAGTTCGATTCCTGGTCAGGGTACATGCCTTGGTTGTGGGCTTGATCCCAAGTGGAGGGGAGCGGCATGTGGGAGGCAGTCAATTGATGTTTCTCTCTCTCACATCAAGGTTTCTGTCTTTCTCTAAAATATCAATAAAAACATATTTATTTCTTTATTAAATAAAAACCTATTTAAAAAAACAATGAAAGAAAATTAAACAGTCAACTCTTTCTTTTTTTGGTTAATCCTCACCCGAGGATATTTTTCCATTGATTTTTTTAGAGAGAGTGGTTGGGAGGGAGGGAGAGAGAGAAACATCAATGTGAGAGAGACACATCCTTTAGTTGCCTCCTGCACAACCCCAACTGGGGTCAGGGATCGAACCTGCAACCCAGGTTCATGCCCTTGATTGGAAATCAAACCAAAGACCCTTTGGTCCTCGAGCAGGTTCTCTAACCGCTGAGCCAAACCAGCCAGAACCTTTTTTTTTTTGGTATGTGCCCCTAGCGGGAACCGAACCCAGGACTCTCTGGTCCGCAGGCCAATGCTCCAACCGCTGAGCCAAACTGGCCAGGGTTTCTTTTTTAAAAAATATTTTTTCTTTATTAATTTAATTTAATCAATTAATATTTTTCTTTTTTATCCTTACCCGAGGACATTTTTCCATTTTTATTCAGATAGAGTGGGAGAGAGAGAGAGGAAGAGAGAAACATTGACGTGAAAGGAATACATCGAGTGGCCGCCTCCTGCACAACGCCAGCCAGGGCAGGGGACGAATTACAACCCAGGTACATGCCCTTAACTGGAATCAAACCCATGACTCATTTTTCTGCGGGTTGATGCTCTAACCCCTGAGCCATACCGGCCAGGGCTCTTTAATGATTTTAGAGAGAGAGAAAGGGAGAGGGAGAGAGAGATAAAAACATCAATGAGAGAGAACACTGATTGGCTGCCTCTTGCATGCCCCCCAATGGGGATCAAACCCACAACCTGGGCACGTGCCCTGATCAGGAGTCAAACCGGCAACCTCTTGGTGCATGGGTCGATGCTCAACCACTGAGCTACACCAGCCAGGTGAGCCAGGGCCTCTTAATAAAACTTTTTTTTTTTTATCCTCACCCGAGGACATTTTTCCATTTTTTGTTCAGGTAGAGTGGGAGGGAGAGAGAGGAACAGAGAGAGAGAGAGAAACATCGACGTGAAAGGAACACATCGAGCGGCTGCCACCCGCACAACCGACCAGGGCCGGGGACAAACTGCAACCGAGGTACGCGCCCTTAGCGGAAACCGAACCCGGGTCTCTCAGGACCGCAGGCTGACACTCTAACCGCTGAGCCAAACCGGCCAGGGCTTAATAAAACTTTTGGAGGCGACTTACATGTCTCATGGCATAATTCCAGCCCCCAGTGTCCTGGTAGGGCTTTTGGATCCAGCCTTTGTGTCCACTTTGCTTCTCCTCTGCATTCAGGTGAGCCCTAGAACCCACCTTTGGATGCTGCAGCATGAAGTCCACTGCTTCTTCAAAGTACTCCAAGTACACATCATTCAGACTTTCAGGGAGGTCTTCAAATCTGAAATAAGCCAAAGCAAGCACAGCAAAACCATGACCGGCCAGGAGGCTGGCTCTGTATTCACAAAGGCCACCACCACTTCCAAACAGATCAATGATGCCAGGGAAGGGTCCTGCACCTGGAGAGTACCACAAATCATAAAGAGCTTTAGACTCTCAAAAGACATTCTTGGGTATCAGATTTCGGCAGACAGGAAAGAGAAGTTTTTGAAACAAGGAAATTTGGGGGTGTGGGGATCAGTGGAAGAAGAACCATTTTTACTTTAACTTAAAAAAAAAAAAAAGACAAAACTGCCCTGGCCAGTTTGGCTCAGCGGTTAGAGGGTCGGCCTGCGGTCCAGAGAGACCCGGGTTCGGTTCCCACCAAGGGCACGAACCTTGGTTGCAGTTTGTCCCCAGCCCTGGTTGGGTCATGCGGGCGGCAGTCACTCGATGTATCCCTTTCACATCGATGTTTCTCTCTCTTGCTCACTCTTCCTCTTTCTCCCTCCTGCTCTATCTGAACAAAAAATGGAAAGATGTCCTCGGGCGAGGATAAAAATTTAAAAAGACAAAACCTATGGGGAGAAGGGAGAAGGAATAAAATACCTTACTTTCTTCAGAATTTTTCATATATTTTCACACACACAAAAATAATATTAATATAAATACAGCTAACCCTTGAACAATGGGGGAGTTAGGTAAAAAATTCCAGTGTAGCCTTGGACGGTTGGGCTCAGCAGTTAGAGCATCAGTCTGCGGACCAAAGAGCCCAGGGTTCGATTCCTGCCAAGGGCATGTACCTCAGTTGCCATTTGTCCCCGGCCCTGGTTGGGGTTATGCAGGTGGCAACTAGTCGATGTGTCTCTCACACTGATGTTTCTCTCTCTCTGTCTCTCTCCCTCCCTCCCACTCTGTCTGAAGATAAATATAAATACACACACACACACACACACACACACATATATAAAACTTCGGGTGAGGATTTAAAAAAAACTGTCCAGCAGGGGTGGCCCTTGTGGCTCAGTGGTCGAGCATCAACCCATGCACCAAGAGGCTGCCAGTTCGATTCCTGGTCAGGACACATGCCCAGGTTGTGGGCCAAATCCCCAGTGGGAGTCATGCAGGAGGTGGCCAATCGATGTTTCTAGATCTTTCTCTCCCTCTCCCTTCCTCTCTCTGAAATCAATAAAGGAAAAAAATGAAATAAAATAAAAATCCCAGTATAATTATTTTGTTAATCTTCACCCGAGGATATTTTTCTATTGATTTTTAGAGAGAGTGGGAGGGAGGGGGGAAGAAGAAGAAGAAGAGAGAGAGAGAGAGAGAGAGAGAGAGAGAGAGAGAGAGGAGAGAGAAACATCAATGTGAGAGAGACACATCAACTGGCTTCCTATCGCACACACCCCAACCAGGGCCAGGGATTGAACTTGCAACCCAGGTACTTGCCCTTAACCGGGAATCAAACCTGCGACCCTTGGGTGCAAAGACCAACTCTCTGACCACTGGACCACATCGGCCAGGGCCCAGTATAACTTTTGACTCAAGTTACCTGCAGGGGATTGGTTCCAGGACCTCTGAAAATACTAAAGTCCACAGGTGCTCAAGTCACTTGTTTAAAATGGCATAGAACAGCCCTGGTGAGTTTTGCTCAGCCGTTAGAGCATCCACCCACAGACTGAAGGGTTGTGGGCTCGATTCCCAGTCAAAGGGCACGTACCTGGGTTGCAGATTTGATCCCCAGCCCCAGTTGGGGTTGTATGGGAGGCAACCAATTGATGTCTCTCTCCCTCCCACCCTCCCTCCCTTCCATTCTATCTTTAAAAAAAAAAAAAAAGGAAAAATATCCTTGGGTGAAGATTAAAAAAAAAAAATTTAATTAAATAAAATGGCATAGAACAATGCATACAGTCAGCCCTCCATATATGTTGTTTCCCAACCAAGGATCCAAAATATGGTTTTTGATCCTTGGTTGAATGAATCTGCTGATTCAAAACCTGGGGCTATGGAAGGCCGACTGTATATTTATTGAAAACAACAACAAAAACCACTTATAAGTGGACCTGTACAATTCAAGTCCATGTTGTTCAAGGGTCAACTGTAAACAAAATTAGAAATAATATATGATGAGATACACATTCTCTACTAAATTTTCTTTCTTGTTTTCCTTTTTTTAAAAAAATCCTCACCTGAGGATATTTCTCCATTTATGTTCAGATAGAGTGGGAGGGAGAGAGAGAGAAACATTGATGTGAGAGAGACACATCTACAGTCGGCCCTCGTTTATCGTTGTTAATCAGTTTCAGACTCTACCGCAATAAATGAATTTCCGCGAAGTAGGACTCTTTATATGCAGTCCTCCCTCACCACTTCGCACTTCGACTTTCGCGGCTTCACCCTATCGCAGTTTTTTCAAATATCGGCCAGGAGTGTTTTCTTTTTAAAAAGTCTTTGAGAGCCCTACCAGTTTGGCTCAGCAATTAGAGCATTGGCCTGCGGTCCAGAGAGACCCAGGTTCGGTTCCCGCTAAGGGCACGTACCTCGGTTGCAGTTTGTCCCCTGCCCTGGTTGGGTCGTGTGGGTGGCAACCACTCGATGTGTCCCTTTCACGTCAATGTTTCTCTCTCTCTCTCTCCCTCTCCCTCTCCCTCTATCTGAACAAAATATCGAAAAATATCCTCGGGTGAGGATAAAAAAAAAACACAAAAACCAATACACTTTAAGTGGGCCACGTAGAAGATGCTGAAGTTAACGTTTAATCTGGAGTTTTAATATCAGATTCCATGACTGAGTGGTGACAGATTGTTTTTTAATTAATGAAAATCTTTAGGAGATTCTTTATGAATTAGTCAGCATGGTTTATTAAGCTTCTACTATATCCCTGTACAAGCCTCTAGGACTATACAGTGATGTGTAAGTCCCCCATTCCAGCCCCAGAAATTCACAGTTGAGTGAACTAGTCACTAAGGCTGTGAATTGCTGAAGAACTGTAAGAATAAAGCAGGGCCTCTTGTTTTAAAGAATAATCACAGAATTCCATTTAGAGATTCCGTAAGCTGTGGCAACTCCGGCATTTCTCTCTAGTAGGGATTTCAGTTAAGAATTTGGTTGCCAGAAAAAGACAAATACCACATGATCTCACTTATTTGAGGAATATAATGAACATAACAGTCTGAGGAATAGGGCAGACCCAAAGACCTGGAAGTAAGGTACAGACTGACAACCCTCAGAAGAGGGAGTGGTGGGGGGAGGGAAGAGATAAACCACAGAACTTATATGCATGTACACATAACCAATTTTGTTCAATGGACATGGACAACAAAGCCAGGGATGGGGTGGGGGGTATGGGGAGGAGGGTGTCAATGGGGTAAAAAAGGAGAAACATTTGTAACAAAATAAAATAAAAATTTTTTTAAATTAAAAAAAAAGAATTTGGTTGGGCCTTGGCTGGTTTGGCTCAGCAGTTAGAGCGTCAGCCTCAGGACCAGGGAGTCCTGGGTTCAGTTCCCACTAAGGGCATGTACTTTGGTTGCAGTTTGTCCCTGGCCACAGTTGGCGTCGTGTGGGTGGAGACCAGTCGATGTGTCTCTCTTTCTCTTCCTCCCTCTCTTCCTCCTGCTCTATCTGAAAATAAATGCAAAAAAAAAAATGTCCTCGGGTGAGGATAAAAAAAAAAAGAATTTGGTTGGAAGGGGTGGGTCAGGAGTCTTGTTTCCAGGCTACTGTTACCTGGAAACTGGAGTTTCTCAACTTCAGCACTACAGACATTTAGAGCAAGGTATTTCTTTGTTGTGGGTCTGTCCTGTGCATCGTGGCCTCCACCCACTAGATGACAATAGCATCACCCCCTGCATTTGTGACAAAAATGTCTCCAGACAGTATTGCCAAATTCCCACTGGAGTGGAAAAAATCATCCCAGATTGAAAATCACTGATAGTTTATGACAGTGGGGGTCGGACCATTAGGGAGTTGTTCGTTTGTTTTGGATTATGGAGAACTGCCTCTATCTGTGGGTTTTAGCCTTCTTGGAAGTTTGATGTGAAAGGAGGCAAAAGTCACTCTTGCACACCAGCAGAATTGCCTAAAATCGATATTAGAAACACAAGGGCGTGGCTGGTACATAGCCTATCTCAATAAATATATGTTGTAGGCACTTTTTAGTATCCAGCTAAGGGAGTGACAAGGCCTCTTGGAAGTGCCTTGAAACTTCAAGAAAAGCTTCCACCCAGAATCCACGACAGATTCTGGAGCTCGAGGACCAGTTTAGGTAAGTGCCACAATCATGTGGTTCCCAGGTCAGGCAAGAGGCCCCGCAGGGTCGCAGACTCCACCCAACTCTCCAGAATAGCCCAGTGCATCCAGGGAGCAGGGCCCTCACCTGGCGGCAGGAAGAGCGTGGCGCGCACCCGGCCCGCGCGCACCGGCTCCCGCCGCACCCCGGGTGCAAGGAAGCCGCGCTCGTGCACCGCCCGGCCCAGGAGCCGCCCTCCGTCGGGCTCGTGGCCGTCCAGCACCTCCAGCTCCACGACGAAAGGTGTCTGCACGTCCCGCTTCACCAGCCGAAAAAAGGGCTTCTCGCCCTCCAGGGCCCAGAGCAGCCCCATGGGCTCCAGCCCCTCGAAGCTGCCGCCCAGCGCGGGCGCGCGGGTCAGGTCCAGCTCGCCGCCTGCGTCGGCGCGATAGTGCGCCTGGGCCCTGAAGAGCGTGCCCTTCTCGTCACTGAGGGACACGCGCAACGTGACCGGCTGCTCTGGGGTCAGGTCGCACACCACGATGCGCAGGGGCTCGTCCCAGCAGCTGCGGCCCGCGGGCTCCAGCGTCACCTTCGCAGCCATCTCGATCTCTGGGTGACAGGGGCGGCCTGGCCCGGCAGAGTCAAGGGCGGGGCCTGGCGTCCCGCCACCTCCCTGGGGATCAGTCGCTGTTGGAACTTTTGCACTCACTACTGCCATTGGGCTGGCATGTTGGCGCTCTCTAAGCCCGTGTGTGAGGCTTTCTAGAATTTGTGCAAATCACTAGTGCCTGAATGGAAGAAAGTGTAGACCAACGAGACAGACCAGACTCAGACTCCGAACGGGGTTCAAATTAAGAGAGCTTTATTAGCTGCAGGGCGACTGTCCCATCCTACGCAGAGGAGAGAGCAGCCCCGAGCCCAGGGGGAGGGTTGCTTATATAGTTGTCTTAGCCCCTGTTAAGGAATTTGCGGTTAGCTGTTATGCCTGAGGGAGCAAGCAGTTTTGTGTACATAAAGCAATGGTTATCTATACAATGCGGGACTGGGCGGGACGCCAGGCCCCGCCCTTGACTCAGCCGGGCCAAGCCGCCCCTTTCACCCAGAGATCGAGATGGCTGAAGGTGACTCTGGAGCCCGCGGGCCGCAGCTGCTGGGACGAGCCCCTGCGCATCGTGGTGTGCGACCTGACCCCAGAGCAGCCGGTCACGTTGCGCGTGTCCCTCAGTGACGAGAAGGGCACGCTCTTCAGGGCCCAGTGGTTATACAATGCAGTGGTTATCTATTAACTCTAGCAGCTAGTTCTTGCCATTCTCTTAAAATCCAGGGGTTAAGATCTGCCTAATGGGAAAAATTTTACTGTACGTTCACATAGCATGTGTTTGTCCTTTACATTCCCCACTGGTCTTAGGGTTAAATCAAATCCTTGATTTTAAGGTATCTTTAATTTCTTCTATTGTGGCTAGCCTTTGATAGGGAGTGCTAAAAATTGAGCTTAACAGCCTGTATTCTTTCTCTAAAAAATTGCATTAAGCAATTAATCAGGATTGGGCCACAAGCTAATGTTAATAGGAGGAGGATTAAGGGACCCGCAAGGCTAGTGATAAGGGTAGTGAGCTATGGGGACCAACCGAATAAGTCCTACCAATTCTTGGAGGCTGACTGAGCTTTTTCTCGTTCGTTCAGCCGCTTTCTGACCAGGCTTAAGCTTTCCCTGATAACACTACAGTGGTTAACATAGAAGCAACAGGTTTCTCCTAAGGCTAAACAGAGAAGAAATAAACCTGTGGAATAATGTTAGCAAGAATACATAAGTCTTTGGTTTCAATGGGAAAGACGCAGGGAGTCAGTCCTGAGACGCAAGCAAACCAAGTCCCGGGGGTGCAGTTAGGACCTAAGTCTTTTGTGATGAGGGGCTTAATGGGGTCAGGGTGGTAGTATCCCCGCATGAGTCCGCATAAGGGGAAGAGCTTAGGCTGTAGTTGCCGATGATGAAGCATGCCCCTGTCCTTGTAGGTCTCCAAGGGTCAGGCGGGGGCCCGTACCTTCATAGTAGTGGCCACCCATGACTGCATCTAAATTGGGTAGGCGCTTTACCAGCGATCAGAGTCAGGAAAGAGATGAGGAAACCCTGGAGAGCTTTACCTTCAGGGGATCCTCGTCGGCTGTAAGGCCCATTGTTCAGGTATTTGTTCAGTGTGTGCTTTCTTTACCTGAGTGTGGTGAATCCAAAATTTCCATCCTGTTACCTTAAGGGCGGTGGGCTTAGTCAGGATAACAGGAAAAGGGCCAGTCCAGCGAGGCTCGAGGGAAGCAGGCTGATGTTTCTTGACCCAGACCCAGTCACCAGGGGCGAAGTCATGCGGTGGTATCTGGGGTGTCCCCTGTTGGGGTCTGGCGTCCTTGATTAGCTGTCGGGTCTATTCTCTCAGCCTCTGGATTGCCTGCAAAGAGCTGAGGAGGTTATGGTTACCCAGGTTGGCTAAAACCTTGTCCTCGATTTTGGGTAGAATAGGGGGAGGTCGGCCAAACATGATTTTAAATGGGGTGAAACCCTTAAGATAAGGGGTACAGCGTACATGAAGGAGGGTAAAAGGAAGGAGCCTTACCCAGTTGTCACCCATCTCAAGGTGGAGCTTAGTTAAAGTTTTAATGTCCTATTCATTCTTTCTACCTGTCCTAAACTCTGGGGCCTATAGACACAATGCAATTTCTAAGTAACCCCTAAAACTTAAGCTAACAATTTTGTGGTTTTAGCAATGAATGCCGGGCTATTGTCAGACCCCAGAGCTAGAGGGAGGCCAAATCGGGGGACTATCTCAGAGAGCAGTAACCGGGCTGCGGTGGTTGCAGTTTCAGTCTTGGTAGGAAAAGCCTCAGTCCAGCCAGAGTAGGTATCTATGAAAACAAGCAGATATTTATAGCCGTATTGGCCAGGGGCGAACTCAGTAAAGTCAATTTCCCAGTGGTCACCAGGAGCTGTGCCTCGTTTTCAGGTTCCGAGGTCTGTTGTTTCCCGAGGGTGAGAGTTGACTTGGGCTCAGGAAGGGGATCTTCTTATTTCAGATTCTATCCATCTGTTGAGGTTTGGCACATAAAAGTCCTGGGCTATGAGACTGGAGAGTTTAGTCTTGCCAAGGTGGGTGCCCTGATGGAGCTGAGAGATCAGCTCTTGGCCTAGGGTCGCAGGCAAGAGGATCCTCTCCTCAGGGAGAAGCCTCCAGCCATGCGGCCCCTGGTTATAGTTGAGCTTCCGTCAAAGTTCTTCCTCCTCTTGGGTAGGAGGGCTCATTGGGGAGGCTTTCCCCTGGAAGGACTGGAAGGGTCTCCAGTGGCCCCACTGGTCTTAGGGCAGCCTCCTTGGCTGTCTGATTGACGAAGGCGTTCCCCTTAGCTTCAGGGGTGTCAGAGTTCTGGTGGCCCCTGCAGTGGGATAATGGCCACTTTTGTTGGCGCCTGCGGAGGAGGGTTATAAGGGGTGCCGCCACGGGTATGGGAAGGACTGAGCAGCTGAAGGTCTTCAGCCTCTCCGGCCATGGCAGCAGTGGGTGGCGGAGACCGACAAGGGGGTGGCCTCAAAGGGTCAGTGAGAGGGTCTTCTGGGGGACCTGAAAGAAGAGGGTAAAGCCTCCCAGAGGGAGTAGGAGCCAAGGGCCTCTGAGGTTTCCACGGTGGCTGAGCAAGTAATATCTTCTTCCTATTAGGGCAAGAGCATTTCTTAACATAATTAGGTTTGTCAGTAGCTATGTCAATCCAAACATCAGTGTAAGGAGTTTAGTCTCAGTGTCCGGGAGTCCCATAGATGACACCTTGAACTACAAACAAAGAGCCTAAATCAAAAGTGCCCTGGGAGGGCCACTCAACCCGGAAAGTGGGCCACTCCAGTTTGCACAAAGTGCGCAGGGATCCAGGTCTACTGAGATGCCGTAACCTGAGGCGCACTTGGAAAAGTCTGAGAAGCTATCAAGGAGGCATTGAAGAGGGGTCTGAGGTCCCTGACCCATTTTGAAGGACATAGGCTGGCACAACACAGAAACACAAAAGGACAAACAAATAAGACAGACAAAAAGCCAGACAAACCGAACCAGGACCAAAAGCGACGTCTCACTATGGCCCTGGGGCTGGATGTATGTGCTGCATCCAGCAGATCCACTTCCCTTTACTCTGCAGAGTTTTCAGAAACAGACTTACCGAGGGACGTCCCATTTGCTGAACCGAACCTGGGACCAGGGTTTCCAGATGCTCTCTAGATGAAATTTGGAGTAGAGACTATTTTCAGGCCAGAATGGCGTCCGGGGCAGAGGAACGTCTCTCTGAGGCCTTCCCTTAGACCACCTGTCTGCTCCCAGGATGGATCGTCTCCTAGAGCCTGAGGAGGTCAACCCGCCAGAAGGGGGACCTTGTTTGTCTATCTCCTTGGGGCCTCCAAATGTTGTAGACCAAAGAGACAGACCAGACTCAGGCTCTGAACTGGGTTCAAATTAAGAGAGCTTTATTAGCTGCGCCCCGACTGTCCCACCCTACTCAGAGGAGAGCAGCCCTGAGCTCAGGGGGAGGGTTGCTTATGTAGTTGTCTTTGCCCCTGTTAAGGAATTTGGGCTAAGCGTTTGCAAGCAAGCAAGCACGTACAGAAGCAGATATTTGCGGTTAGCTGTTACACCTGAGGGAGCGAGCAGTTTCGGTGTACACAAAGCAATGGCTATCTATACAATGCAGTGGTTATCTTTTAACTCTAGCAGCTAGTTTTTGCCATTCTCTTAAAACCCAGGGGGTAAGGTCTCCTAATGGGAAAAATTTTACTGTACGTTCACATAGCACGTGTTTGTCCTTTACAAAAGTATCTGCTAAGAATTAATTACTAATACTGCAATCTAATGTGGAAGTGTCGAAATTGAGATACAAAGACTGCTGAACCCTGGCCGGTTTGGCCCAGTGGTTGGAGCGTCGCACGCAGACCACAGAGACTCGGGTTCGGTTCCCACTAAGGGCACGTGTATCTTGGTTGCAGTTTGTCCCCGGCCAGGGTTGGAGTTGTGCGGTTGGCAACAACTCGATGGGTCTCTCTCGCATTGATGTTTCTCTCTCTCTCTTCCTCCCACTCTACCTAAAAAAAAAAAAAAAAAAAAAAAGACTGCTGAGAGATACAGGATTGGGGGAGATACTGAGGGTTCCAAGAACCTGGAGTTTTAAAGAGCATCTCAGATGTGTACAGTTGACCCTTGAACAGGGGGCGGAGTGCGGTTAGGGTCACTGACTTCGGGCACAGTTCAAAATCTGTATAACTAGTAATTAAGGGGCTCGATGGAGAAACATAGTCGTAATCCCTGCCTTACCTCTCAGTCTTTGACCAAGGCTTTTCCTAGAACTAAGGGTACCTAGAGCGGTTTCCAGAGCAGGTAGATGATTATGGTATAAAACCTGTGTGGGTTCCCTCTGACCCTGCTCCTTAATACCTAAATAATTAAGCCTGTAAATCCAGTTTCCTTATCTGTAAAAGTTTTTTTCGTGTGCTGATTACCTGGGGTAACATATGTAAAAACACTGCCGTGATACACTTTTAGTAGGTGCTCAGTGAGTTTTGTTCCTCAACTCACAAATCTGGTC